AAGAAAACAGCAACATCAGCAGAAATGGTTCGAAAAGAAAAGAAGAGACTTGATCCCAGTGGCCGAAAAATGGCTCGTGAACTGAACATATCGCAATATTCCAATCGGCAAATATTATAAAAATGAGCTCGGGGTAAAGCCATTGAAATTCCAAAAAGTACAAAAACTTACACCGCAACGAAAAGAAAATTGACTCAAAAGAGCGAAGCAACTCTTCGCTTGGCCGAGTCCGGTGAACTGACGAATTTGGTTTTCTCCGATGAGAAAACATTCGTTGCCCAGCAGTTGGTAAACAAACAAAATGATCGTGTTTACTTGTCAAAGAGGTCAGCTGAAAATGTGCACATTCGATTGGCCACCATAACTCAAGCCCCGGCCATCGTGATGGTTTGGGCCGCCATAATAGCCGATGGTACCGCTCCGCTCGTATTAATCGACCGTGGCGTCAGAATAAATGCCGAATATGATAGCGAAAATATTCTGAAGGGTGTATTAAAGCCTTGGGCATGTAAAAAAATTTGGCCGCACACTTTGAACATTCCAACAGGACTCAGTACCATTGCACTCAGCACGCGCCACCCAAGAATGATTACATAATGAGGTTCCTCGCTTCATGTCCAGCGCACAATGGCCACTAAAATCTCCGAATACCAATCCGTTGGACTATTGTGTTTGGAGTATTTTGGAAAGCAATTTTGGCACTAAAAAATACCAAAGTGTCGATCACCTCAAGCAAGCGCTTCGCCGTGAAGGGGCCACAATACCGCAGAGCAACATTCGGCCAGGGTGTGCTGGTTTCATTGGCCGTTTGAAGGTCATAATTCGTGCCAAAGGTGACCAATTCGAACAAATCTAAACTTATTCTAAAATTTGATGATATTTCCGACATTTTTGTTTTCATTCAAAAGGATTTTTAAAAAAATGTAAAAATTAAGGTGTTTTACTTTGTTGCAGTTTTTTTATTGATTTATATGGACCCTACTATCAATTCAAATTCAATAGCAATTCATGAATTTTTCCGACTTTCATTTTTTTTTTTTTTACTTTTCTATATATGCAAAATACTCAAATTCTTTATATGCAAAACATACAAAAAGTGTGGAAGTCTTACTCTTTAAAATAGTGGGGATTTCTGCGTTATGCTTAAACTTTGCCGAAGATGTATTCCACTTCTTACCATTGTTCCATGCCTTACAGGACCGCTGGGATTGTACTGCCATTTATATTTAAAAAAATTCAAGGAAAATGTGGTATTGTAGCAAATATATTTTTTTTTTCGAAATTTACTCAAATGATTCAAAGCTGTATTATTACAATCAATGGTCTGGAGATATACAGCTTTCGGTAAAATCCACTGACAAGTTTCAACTTCTTTTGATATTTTGCTCAGCATATTACATTTATTTCAATTTTGGCTAAAGGAACTCAATCATTTGGAATTGAAGAAAAAATCATATATTTCCGATGTTCTATTTGTCGCTCTCTTCAAAAGCTTTCTGACAACAGGTGTAACACTGACACCGTATCAGATGCCTGAGATTACAAAAATCAGCACAAAAATGACAACAAATGGCATCCAACGTATTTGAAAAATGAAAGCAAACCTAGCAAAAAATAAGGTCATTTGGTCTCCGAAAATAACCGGGAGCTACGTCTTTTATAGCCATGCAAATCATTTCTATCGTTTGAAAGAAGAAAATATTTAAAATTCTCTGTGAAACACTTCTTGTTTCTAAACACTATCAATGCAAAATGAAATGTAACCTTAGGCTAGTAAAAAAAATCACAAAGTTCCTTTTCGCTTTATGTTTTGATGGACACAAAGTTAAAAAGAGATTTATGAGGCATAAGGTAGGATTGAGTAGGTTATGAACGATATATAAAAGAAATATGCTTAGTATCCCTAGTTTAGGTGTAATTTGTTCTACTTGAAAAAAAAAAACTTAAACTTCTACATCAGATTTTATTAGTGTAAAACTAGTTCAGAAGTGAGGGGATTTTTGTAAGTGAGAATGACACACTACGCGTTACATAAAGGACGATGTTGTAAACGCATAAATAAAAATATCTTGATATCGATCAAGTAATAAACACATAAAAGTCATAAAAAAAAACTTAGAAGATGTTGGTCAATACATCTGGGGATATCTGAGGATGATATGAACCAAAACCAGCCAATAGTACTAACTTCAAATGGTTTTATTTTACTTGATCCTACTCTCATACAACACCTCGAAATATTTGACAACTCCTCGAAGTTTATACTACAAAATATTTATAATCAGCATAAAATTATATGTCTATCAATCCGTCCGTTGTGACTACCATAGAGGTTGCACATTTAAATGTAGAGCTTTGTAATTTACACAGGCATTGATTCTATTCACATGACATTGAATATACACCCACCTTTGGTATGCTCAATTGCCGAATTTCCAATGACATGAGATTTAATTTAATATTTTGTATTCTTTGTAGGTAGATTTATAGCTCGGAAGAAAATGCAGTTTTTGGTGCCAATCAAATCAGTATTTTTTTACATTTTAATAAGACTACGACTTCTATTCCAGACTACGAAAACAAAGTTCAGCTTATTCATTGATAAGCTGTTAGGTTTATATCTTACCCCTATCGATGTGAAGGTATATTCACTTTGATCATCCGAACTGAAATAAATAAATTCAATATTAGGGGCATTATAAGTTTGATTGGGAAAATACAAATATTGAAACTACAAATATTGGTCCAAGACATAGAAAACTTTATATGGATCTTCCTATCTCGCCGAGTTGAGTCAATCTAGCGATGTACGACCAATCGGAATTTTAAATGGAGCTAGAGTTTAGGACTGGTCAGAAATCTAAAAATTTGGATGGCCAACGGATAATATTTAGCTACTGAAAAAGACCATAACTTTTATGTAAGACCAGTAAGGAAAGGTCAAAAGTCGGGCGTGGCCAACTATATGATGCCCTACACCACAATGAGTATTTAGTAGAGCTCCCTTAACAAAAAAGTTTTTATTTTGAGTTTATGTGAAGTGGATCATACTAGCTCTGAACCTTATTTAAATGCGTATCATGGATTTACAGCAGTCACAATTTGTGAACTACATCCAACTCTGAAGCGATTTCCAGCATCATATTTATTGTAGCAATAGATATACCGGACCGAGTTTCCACAAATAAAAAAACTGTAGAATTTGGTTTTCCGATGAGAAAACATTCATTGTAACAGCTGATGGTCGCTCTCCGCTCGAATTAACCGTGGCATCGGAATAAATGCCGAATAATATCGCGAAAATATTCTGTGTAAACATTTTGGCCACAGACCTTAGACATTCCAACAGGACATTCCACCATCGCACTCAGCACGCGTCACCCAATACTGCTATTTCCGCATTTTTTGCATTCATTCATAAAATTTGTATTGTTGCAATTTTTATACCCTCCACCATACTATGGAGGGTATATTAATTTTGTCATTCCGTTTGTAACTCCTCGAAATACTCATGTCAGACCCAACAAAGTATATATATTCTTGATCAGCGTACAATTATAAGGCGATTAGGCATGTCCGTCTGTCTGTCCGTCTGTCTGTCTGTGTGTCTGTCTGTCTGTCTGTCTGTTGTAATCACGCTATCTTTCGAACAAATTGAGATAGAAGGATAAAATTTTGCACACATGTATATTTTTCCAGTAGGCAGGTTAAGTTCGTAAATGGGTCATGTAGGTCCAAGTTATCATATAGCCCCTATATAATGGTACCTCCCGAAATTCGGTATTTTGATGATTTTAGCGACATTATTCACCGGAATTGTTTCAAATTTGGCATTAAAAGTTCGTAATGGATACTACAGCTTAAGACAGAAAATTATCTGAGAAGGTCCACGTTTTCGTGTAGCCCCCATATAACGGTACCCCCCGATATTCGGTATTTTGATGATTTTAGCGACATTGTTTACCGGAATCGTTTCAAATTTGGTATTTGAAGTTCGTAATAGATACTACATCCTAAGTCAAAAAATGAGCCATGTAGGTCACGTCTTCATATAGCCCGCATATACCGTACCCCCCGATATTCGGTATTTTGATGATTTTTGCGACATTATTTACCGGGATTGTTTCAAATTTCGCATGTGAATTTCGTAATGGATACTTCAGCCCATGCCAGAAAATTGTCTGTGCAGGTCCACGTCTTCGTATAGCCCCCATATAACGGTACCCCCCATATTCGGTATTTTGATGATTTTAGCTACATTGTAAACCCACGTCGTCATATAAGCATTCGGTTTTTTTAAGGTTTTAACTGAATTTTTAACGGATTTTATTTTTGGAAATTGCCAAATTTGTACCAAATGGTGGAGGGTATTAAAAGTTCGGCTCGGCCGAACTTATAGCTTTTTTACTTGTTTAATCTCATCCTGCATATACATAATGGGTGTCCGATAAATATTTTTGGTGGTGTTACGAAGGGAATGAGAAATTTAATTCACCTTCATTTCTATGGTAGGGGTGTAAGAATTATTTAACCCATATCTTGATGGACACAATATGCTCCACTGTACATCGTTTGTTGGTTTTTTGTTTACGTTTCCCACTGTGAACGGCTCTTTTCAAAACAAACAAAATTTCCAAACTATTCCAGAATACCATCTGTTTGCCATTGACTGGCAACCGAATGTAATTAGCATTTCCCTTTAAATGCGATTGGCTGTTTTCCACATTTTATGTTAGGTTTAAGTAGGGTAGGGCAGCGTAGGGTACCTCTTGTTTATTTTAAATCCTTGTGGAGAAAACAAAAACGTGTGAAGTGTTTATGATTCTTGTGTGCGTGTGTGTGTCCTATCAGAGTGAAATTACCCTACATTGGTTTCTACACGCTGCTTGGAAAAATGTGTGTTTACTTTGGTATTCAGGTAGGTAGTAGGATATCTTACAACAACAACGCACATACGTTGCGTTTTAAAAATAACAGCTGTCTTCAAATACCGTTTCAATTTGAACGTGACATTCAGTTTTCAATAAATCACCGAAGTAGGAGGATCAGTGAATTATTTTGTCGCAAAGTGTAAAGTGTCCGAAATAACAAAGAAAATCGAAAGTATGTTGTGGTATGCCATTAGGCTGTATAAAGAAAAACTAAATAATTTTATATTTTGCAGTTGAAGCAACAGTCTAATTATGATACAAATTATAAAATCGAGCTTGGTGTCCACTTTAAGTTCTCTGGTAAAATCTTCCATCGTTCAAAATCTACGATTGGTGGGACCAGCTGCTTTTACCACTGCCAAAAGGAATTTTTACAAAAATCCCATTGTTTGGAAGAGATACGCGGTCAATGATCACGATGAGTTTGATGAACTGGTAAGATTGAAATAAATAATTTCAAGATTTACAAGATTATTAAAATTAAAAAAATTTAAAATTTCGTCAGGTCATCAATAGTGGTCATCCCGTAATTGTCGACTTTCATGCCGAATGGTGTGAACCATGCCATACCCTAACACCACTCCTAAATGCTTTGACTGAAAAATCCAATCACATTGATTTGGCCATAGTGGACGTGGAACAGAACAGAGATTTGGTCGAAACATTCGATGTTAAGGCAGTGCCTGCTGTATTGGCCTTCTATAACGGTGTCATTGTGGACAAATTCATTGGATTGGTCGATGAAAAACGTTTGGAGGCTTTGATTAAAAAATTGAAGTTAAAAAATCGCGAAAGTTGTTCAATGCCGGCATAATTAAATTTAAGATTTTTTCGCCCAATATTCTAATATTTTTTATATTTCAATATTTCCCTTCAAGACATGTATTCTTATTCTGCTGCTACTTCTAATTTTAAAATAAAAATTAAAATAATAAAAAAATTAAAATTTTGTGTATAATTCCTGATCGGCTTATGATTGGGAGGTTTATTTGTCTGAAATCACAAAAGATAGGGATATTTCAGATGGGACCTACACTGATATTGTTCCTAGGATATGAAGTATTTAAAACCGTTGTCATTTCCTGTATGTTGAGTGTTTAAGTCATAACTCGGAACCAAACAGTATTTTTTTCTTCCTCCAAAAACTTGCTAACATCTTTGTAGGTTAAATGTGTAATTAGTTGTCATTTGGCATTCGAAGTTCTATGATTACTTCCTCGCCACAACAGGTTCCACATTTGCTATAGCCCCAAGCGGCGATGCCTTTGTAATTTTCGGCATTTTGGCGGTTCTAGCCGCTATTGCACTCCCCATCGGCAGTGATCGGTTATATTACTTTCAAATGAAAAATCAATCTCGTATTGAGAGGGTGGTTTGTTAAAATTTTTACTTTATTGGTCACTCTTCCATCTCACTGGATTAAATTTCTATTGCTAAATTTTAGAGATGGTCATGCAAAACGATTTGGATGATAGCGGAGGGCATGAGGAGACAGTGTCCATTTTCGCATCTGCTCTAGATATACTTTCCCACACAGTATTATTTTGTAATTAGCCTTAGCACAATTTAACTAGTTAACAAGTTAACAAGTAAAAAAGCAGTAAGTTCGGCCGGGCAGAACTTTGAATACCCTCCACCATTTGGAACGAATTAGAAAATTTTCAAAAAATAAAATCCAATAAAAATTCTTTAAAAATCTTTAAAATATCTAATATAGGAAGGTACCGATATATGGGGGGATATACGATATTGTGGACCTATAAAGACAAATCTATGTCTGCGTGTAAAGTACTCACAAGGAACTCCGTGTGTGGATTTTCAGACAATACGATTGGAAAAAGTGGCTAAAATCATCGAAATACCGAATATCGTGGGGTACCGTTATATGGGAGCTATACGTTATCGTTAACCTATATAGAGAATTCTCTGTCGGTGGGTAAAGTGCTCACAAAGAACCCTTTGTGACCATTCCGTTGAAAAATATGGCTAAAAAACATCAAAATACCGAATATCGGGGGGTACCGTTCTATGAGGGCTATACAATATCGTTGATCTATATAAATAATTCTCTGCCGAGGTATAAAGTACCCACAAGGAACTCCTTGTGTGGATTTTCAGACAATTCCGTTGAAAATGTGGGGTAAAATCATCAAAATACCGAATATCGGGGGTACCGTTACATGGGGGCTATACGATATTGTGGACCTATATAGATAATTCTCTGTCGAGGTATAAAGTACCTACAAGGAACTCCTTGTGTGGATTTTCAGACAATTCCATTGAAAAATGTGGCAAAAATCATCAAAATACCGAATACCGTGGGGGTACCGTTACATGGGGGCTATACGATATCGTGGACCTGTATGGACATTTCTCTGCCGAGGTATAAAGTACACACAAGGAACTCCTTTTGTGGATTTTCAGACAATTCCGTTGAAAAATGTGGGTAAAATCATCAAAATAGCGAATATTGGGGGTACCGTTATATGGGGGCTATACGATATCGTGAACCGATATAGCCCATCTTCGAACTTGACCTGCGCACAGACAAAAGACAGATCTGTGCAAAATTTTAGCTTCCTATCTTAATTCGTTTAGACTGTAGCGTGATTACAACAGACGGACAGACGGACTGACGGACGGACAGGGCTAAATCGTCTTAGAATTTTACGCTGATCAAGAATATATATACTTTGTTGGGTCTAAAATGATTATTTCGATGAGTTACAAACGGAATGACGAATTTAATATACCCTCCATACCTTTTTTGGTGGAGGGTATAAAAATATTGTGATGTGTGTAATTTGAAGACAATCGGACTCTTACAACATATCTTATAAGAGCTATTTTTTATTTATTCAAAATTTAGACCCTTTGTGGAGGTACTTTATGGAGTGAACCGACATTATCCATATTCGCACCTGACATAGCACTGATGGGTATATTAGGATTTGCAAAGTTGGAGCAAAAATATTTATTTCATTTATTTATTTATTTTTATTTATTTTTAATTTCGACCTTTTGTTCTGGGAGTTACCAAAAAGGGTGAACCCATATTGCCCATCTCAAAACACGATATCAAATTTAAGATAATAATATTACGATGTACCAAGTTTGGACCAAATAGGGTCTAAAACCGATATTTCGATAAGGCACGTTTTTAGTCGTATCAAATGATATATACCCTCTGTAGCCGTATGACTGAGGGCATAAAAAGTGACTAGCTTTTGAATATTGGGTACATATTTTAACTAGAATCCACGTGTCGATACAAGTCACAATTTGAGAAAAAAGACAGAAACAGACAGATACTGGCACCCAACTAATTTTTTTTTCGAATAGGAAACGAGTTTGTTTTATTTCTTTCTTTTAATATTTTAAAAATCAGATTCTTTGTTAAAATATATTGAATTCGTAATCGAGGTACGTGTTTTTATGCGAAATCTAAAGCCGATATCTAGATTGATTACAAGGCATATAATTGATATAACAAAATATCATTATTTTCGTATCTTTCGGTGCCGGGCCGAACTTTTAATACCCTCCACCATTGGGTAGAACTATAATTGAAAATCTGTGGAAAAATGTGGCAAAAGTCTTTAAAATACCGAATACAGGAAGATAACGTTAAAAAAAAAGTGGATATATACATACAATCTTCCGCCACAGGAGCTAGAAGCCATTATGACCTACAAATACCAATTTTTAGACAAATCCGTGGGAAAATGTTTCAAAAATTAATAAAATGTGCAATATCGGTGAGTACCGTTATATGGATGCTATACGAAACATTGACTTATACACAAAATATACCGCCACTGGAGCTGCAGCTCATTATGACCTACAAATACCAATTTTTAGACAAATCCGTGTAAAAAATTTGGCAAAAATGAAAATGCGGAATATCGGTGGGTACCGTTATATGGGGCTATACGAAAACGTTGACTGATATATCTCATTTTCGATACCAACAATTGTCGCCTGTTGTTGACAAACAGAGGGACACCGTTAAACTAACGGAATGACATAGTTAATATAAACTTCTTTCAAGGTGGAGGGTATAAAAAGAGCATCAGCTGATATTAAGCCTAAAATTACTAATATTAAAAATCGGTCACATTGAATCGAAGGCAAATTGAGGGTTTGGCCTTTACAGTAAATTCAAGAAACTCTTTATTGATCCTATCCTATTTAAATTGACTTAACTTTCACTCACATTTCTTATATTTTATTTCTAATTCACTAAACATTTAATGGAATCTTAAATTCTTTAAAATACACAAATAAATTCTGTTGAAATTTTTATTTAAAAATACTGCCCAATCCATAGATGTTTGAAATAGATTGTACAATTTTTGCTAACACATACCTACTAGATGCAAAATTCCCAAATTCCAAAGTTTGTAATATCATATTTTGGGTGTTGAAATTGCATAAACTTAGAGGTAGGCCATGTTGGTCACACCCAAATGCTATTATGTCTGCAGTGATGTTTTGACATTTAAGAAGTTTATGTGCGTATTTTATAACGAACAAAATGTTCAACATGTTGTATGAAATTTTAATTTCAATACTTAACATGAAAGCAATGGCTCTGCCATTACGATGTATTGCAAAATATTTTGGTCATATTTGTGGTAGTATCAAATTTAAAGGCAACGAAGGGAAGGGTATTTTGTACTTTACACCACCACACATAAATATACGCATACAGGCCTATTTGCCTCAGCAGAAAATAGGTATTTTAGTTATTATTAAATTAATGTCGCTATTCCAAAAATCGCCAGTCAAAGTAAAAATATTTTATTTATATAAACAATTTATCTATCTATATGATTTGCGTGTCTATGATATTTGGCTATATTCGTCAACGAAATCAGCATAAAACAAGTAAAAAAGCAGTAAGTTCGGCCGGTCCGAACTTTGAATACCCTCCACCATTTGGAACGAATTAGAAAATTTTCAAAAAATAAAATCCATTAAAAATTCTGTTAAAATCTTTAAAATATCTAATATCGGAAGGTGTCGATATATGGGGGGATATTCGATATTGTCGACCTATATAAACAATTACCTTTCAGGGGTTAAAGTGCTCAGAAAGAACTCCTTAAAATCATCAAAATACGGAATATAGGGGTACCGTTATATGGAGGATATACGATATCGTTAACCTATATAGAGAATAGTCTGTCAGGAGGTAAAGTACTCACAGTGAACTCCTGGTGTGGAATTTCAGACAATTCCATTTAAAAATGTGGCTGAAATCATCAATATACTGAATATCGGGGGCTACCGTTATATGGGGGCTATACGATATCTTGGACCTTAATAGATAATTCTCTTCCGAGGTATAAAGTACCTACAAGGAACATCTTGTGTTGATTATCATACAATTCCGTTGAAAAATGTAGGTAAAATCATCAAAATACCGATATCGTGGACCTAAATAGACAATTCTCTTTCAAGGGAAAAAGTACCCACAAGCAACTCCTTGTGTGGATTATCAGACAATTCCGTTGAAAAATGTGATTGTAATCATCAAAATACCGAATATCGTAGGGTACCGTTATATGGGGGCTATACGATATTGTGGACCTATATAGATAATTCTCTTTCAAGGGATAAAGTACTCATAAGGAACTTCTTGTTTGGATTTTCAGACCATTCCACTAGCCCCATGTTAACTTCAGCGTCGATTGATCTAAAATTGCGTCCTACAGAGCAACTGCAAAATCAGGAAATTTTTCAGTTTTTGGGCAATTTCAACCCCTGAAATAGGCTTCTATTCTGACCCTATCCCCACCTCCATTTTTAATTTCGTGAAGATCGGGCCTGTAGAGTGATTACAAATTAACATGGACAGATGGACGGACGTACATACATAGCTAGATCGACTCAGCTCGGCGAGATAGGATATATTTTCCTATGAGGGCAACCAATATTTCG